CGTGTAGAGTAGCTGAGAGGTAAGATTCCGATCTAAATGCCGTGCATTAGCATACGGCAGCTATAAAGTACTGTCCGGTACCGCAATAAAGATCCTCGGCGTGTTATTACGAACGCGTCCAGAATGGCGGCGCTGCTTTCGTTCGGCGACGACAGCAACGGTACCAGCATCAGTTCAGCTGCACCTCGAAACGCCGTAACTTATTAGAATATTATGTTAACCGATGCAGATGGATCGCTCCTTTAATATTTAATAAAACAACTTCCTCGCGCGCGACCCGTTCGATACGATTTATGACCGCTTCATTGTCGCATTTTGAAGCTTCTTTTAAAACATTATCTTATATATATTTTACGATTCAGGAATCAAGACCTTCCTTCTTATCATATTGTTAACGGTTTACTGCTTTATAGTAATAACAGCTAGAGGTTGCGACCGCGTTGACTTTTAATGGATACCTAAAAAGGGACGAAACAGTCGTGTTTAGGGCGGTGGTTAAGAAAATTTACATACTCTTTTATTGCCGGCTTATCACTCGAAATCTTTCTACCCGAAAAACGACCAGTTAAAATCCCTGTACAACCGTAGGGGTTGAAAATATATGGAGTCCCCATTAATATTAAATACAAGGCAATAATTTATAGGGTCGTATAGTTTTTATAGGTACATAAAAGTCGATAGAATGATTACAATCAATTTGGAACAAGGATATCTGAATATTCTATATATAACTTATATGGCGTCCTTGAATTTACTCACCTAATAATTAACCTCAAAATTTTATCTGGACTAACACTGGAAAAACGAAAATCAAAATCTTAAAATTGTTGCAAATAATGTGAATTAACAATACATATTGCAGCCCCTCGTTTGCAAATGACCTTGGGTAAACTCAAAACGGAAAATGTAGGATTTTGTCTAATTAATTAGATATATTCAAAATTAACACAAAATTTCAATACAAACTATATGATTGTATCTGTGTGGAAAAGGATATGAAACAGGACGAACATAAGATCGTCTCCGAAACAATTCCCAGTTGGGTAACGAGACGACAGATATTTGTTGCCGCATTGTTTTCCCGTCGCAATATATTAGCTCGTTTAATATCCCATGCAGACGGCGTGCTCATAGAGGTACGAATACCGTTTCGAGTCAGACTAGTAAATACGTCATAAAATGTACCGCTAGACGTCTCTGGACATTGCAACTTTGAGAACCGGACGCTTACGTGTAACTTGAGTACGAACGCCCGGTTTTGAGCAGGAAACGAACGCAACACTCGACTGCTTCACACTCTTCGTGTGGGGTGATACCAATTATTTCAGGAATACACCTGTATGATGACCCCGACGACTACGAACGCATTTACAAACCGCCTCTTTAGCATTTACATAATAGTAGTTAACTGCATTTAATTCCGGCCCTGTAGGAGTTTCTCAGATTATCTTAAGACCAACAGAACGGAACCTTTCGTCATAATCCGGTTGATTTATAACCCTCGGAAACTTGTAAGCAGCCGACAATCAGAAACAAAGAGCTATGAGAATAAAAATCTTATCACGTAGTAATATATGCTGATCATTTTAAATTTATTTCATTTTGTTAATGCTGTATGTTAACATTTTGGGGTTTGTTTGTTCTATTTATTATTCAGCTTTGTGGCATCACAACCAAACCGCACAAAAGTGATATAAAACAGTTAATTACTTAAATTGCATTTAGCTAATTGTGGACGTACTACGGAGTTTAGCGATAATTTTGTTTTCAATTGTGAGTGTTAGTTATCTGCAGGCATAAAATCGTTATAATGCTCTAACAATTAAGCGTCCCGGTTTAGATCTCGAAACCTTGCTGCTTTCTCGCCACACACCTATTTGGTTATAATTTAAGAACCCATAAATTGAATGTGTGGCCCGCGGGTCTAAATCCCAACGATGAACGTTATTGTATAACCACCTACGAAATCCGTTTTTAATGAGGACACGTCGACCGATCGGTTAGCGGGAACTCGTTAGCTGAGGAGTTTTGGAGAATCGAGCACGTTCCGACAACCTAACGCTTTTCTCTCTCTAGATGTCTACATTCAAAAACACGTAGTGGGTAATTCGTGTTATAAAATTACTCGAAATCAGTAATTTGCCAGTAATTGTTGAGGGTACCGTAATGAAGCACATTATTTAAGTGGCGCAGGGACAGCTGCAGCTTGCATACCGTGACGGTTGCCGCGCAAATAAATCGCTGTCGAAGTTCCCGGCCCCATAAAATACCTTTAATGTATTCGTTGAGGATCGTGATTTAGACCTCCGCCGCGCAACTTTAATTATTTCAAGGAGAACTTGATTTAACGATCTCATCTTGAGAGATTTCTTGCCCTATACGTTTTGTCACACCGGTCGGTGTAAGACAAGGGTTCGACGGAAACACAATCAACAACAGTTGTTTAACTCTTTGAATTTACGTACGATACAGAAAAATTTGTCGGACTAAAACCTAATAATTATTTCAACGTTCTTTTGTTACGAGGTTATTCGGATTTTCTAAAATTTAATGTGTAAACCAGAAATGGAAGAGCGTACGTAACATTGTCTTATTCGTGTTCAATAAAATTTCTATTTTATCTCCACAGAAATTGCGACGTTAAAATACGACTGTAAGACAGCGTCGTAAATCCGATAGGAATATAAGGGCCTAAGCCATTTGTGAAACAATAAAATGACAGAAGGCCGCCCGACGGGATGAATAATGCAATAACGCTCGGTCTGCGCAAATGGTAAATAATTGTAGATTAAAAATCGCGGTCCGACGACGGCTATTAAGGTCTGAGCTTGGCTATATCTTACTGGACAAAGAACGGCCGCGTGACGGGTACCCTTTATTCTAATACAGATCTGACGGAGGTCTTAAAAAGCAGCGTTCAACTCTTAATGGCCGACATATTGAGTCTTTGTCCGGCGGTCTTATAACCGACTGAAACGCGCACTTCATTGCTTTGCCTTTTTCACATCCCGACTTGCTGTCGAGAATTGAGAGAGGTGAGATTGTATCGGGTTTAGCGTGGAGTGCGTTCGAAATTTATTGCAGAGAAATTTAATATAGACGCCGAATGCGAAATGGCGGGCGGGATGGTACAAACGTTCCCATCCATGGGAATACATTTAAAACGCACACCTCATTGATTTATTAACATGCAAGTTCTCACTTTCATACGATTCACGATATATTCCATTTCAATGTAGACACTCCAACGTACAAAAAGAGAATATTTATTTACATGTTTACTTATCTACGTATAAGTCAATAATACGTATTTGTGATTTGCGATATCATGTAACATAGCATCATTATTATTATTTTCTTTTAAACACCGCTAAGGTCGCGCAATAACCTGTAGTTCAAGTAAAAGTGAATTAAAAAGCTACATAGGTATATTTTATATATTACTTAAGCAAGATAATTTTAAAACGTATGAGCGATCTTTATGATTCAGCAAGTTCGAAGAAATTTATATCAAAAAACTCTAACGGTATTTTACGATTAATATATTAGTCAATGCGACGCGCCGAAACCAATCTTGATGAAAACATCGCCGAGACGTATGACCTACTTGCCGCTCCATCAACCGTTACGATCTGCATCCATTAAGAGTACCTCAAAAGGATACATCTGACGAGTTGATAGATCACTTCCTTTATCTAGTATAACGACTATTGTTCGAAATTAGAACGGCTGCGCGAATTACCTATGATTTGAGAATTAAAATTCTCGAATCTTTTGGTCTACCTATAATTTAACACAGAATGCCAACTTCTCTGGGGGCAAAACAGAATTTGTTTCTACATTTGTGGCGGCTAAAATCTTCCGTGGCGGACCGTTTGTAGTTCAGGTCGACGAGGTCCTGCACGCAACAGTCTAATCTCCATGCTAATGCGGGTTCGCCCCTTTCCTCCACAGCAACATAATGAGGGTGTTGCCCGAGGCACACAAATAATAAGAAACGAAGAGGAGCTTCGCCGCGCCGGTCCGAGACCAGATCGAACGCTTCGAGGTTCGGCTGGATGAGCACCAGTTGACACGAGAACACGAAAAGCAATTGGAAATGCCGGCAATTTCAGCCGGGCCTCTGCAATTACATGATGAGGGCAGTTGCTATGACCGAACCAACACACTTACACTTCGATTCGACACATGCTCACGTCTCGGTGAGCCCCAGGATAACAACGCAACCGTCGTGGCGAATTACTTTTCTCTATGTAGTGGGTGTTCGAGTATACACGCTGTGAACCCGATACTCTGGTTCACTGCACACAGCGAGACAAAGACTTTTAATTAATTGGTTAATTTTTTGCTATTTTTACTTTTTACGTTCAAATCGGGTCAAACTGTTTTTACCATCTTGATAAAGAAGTAGCCATCTACCGCAACTGAAGAGTTTGAAGAGGATTGGGACGACGGAGGAATGCGCAAAACCGGCCCTATTGACGCGATTATCTACGGGAATATCACATAAATAACTATAAACACCGAGCCTCCCAGAACCGGTCCTCGGTCCAGCCTCATAACTGCGGACAGACATTAACATAACAAGTCCCATAATAGTATTTCATCTTAATGTCATCTAAAACTGTATGCTAATAATTTCATTTCATTGCAAATGCAGCTTTGTTCGGCGTCCTATCAAGCCGGCCGTATCGAGAACGTCGCTGTCTTTCGTCTCTTCCTAACTTTCCTTTTTGACCGATCATCTTGGCTTCTTCAAGTTTTTCATTTTTAATGACCGAAGCCGGGAGATAAAGAACTAGGACAAGTACCCTCGCTTCTGTGTGACGGTTAAGAACGGTCTCTTATAACCGAAGAGGTATTAAGTCGTACGAGATCGGATTTTCAAACGAGATAACTATTGAAATTGATATAGTAGTAAACAAAGGAAACTGGAAGAAACGAAATATATTCAAGTTCTTTAAATATCAAACATGTTTTAGTCCTCAAGTAAAACTTACTTGAAAATAAACTTGGCCTTTATCCACCCATCCCACGATCATATCTGATCCTGGCATCCTTCCATCCTTGGAAAATCCAAAACCGACATACCCAAGCGTCCTCACTTGTAACTCAAATGTAATGTCCTGCGGTCCAGGACCTAAGGACCATAGTAATCTGTAATCAGGACTCAGCATGGCGAAGTGTGACCAACGAGCCGCGTTTGTCCCAAGCACCGCAAAGCACATCGCGCACAAGAGCACAGATAAACACACTTTACGATGACACATTTCCATGCCTGGTTAGATGACTTGACAGGCTTCAGATTGTAGCTGGACTACGTCCGGGCATCCCCTCTGAAACATAAGATAACGTTGGTATTAATGAGTTTTTAAAAATTAACGATTTAATTAAAAGATTTACAAATGTAAATTTAATAAATAGGTTAGATCACGTTAAGATTAAGTATTTGAGAACGCGGTGCGTTGCAAGAGCATTAAGGGGTGAAAATCCCTTAAACGCTTTAAATAAAACAGGACAGCGGAGTATTCAGCCGATGTCACTCAAACTAAACAATAGTCACTTGAGTTTAATAAGGAATGAGAGACGTCTGGAGAAGCCGCTTAGAGTTTAGGAACAGTTCACGCGCTTCTTCCGCCTTCGTCTCTTATTAAATTCGCCCGTATATCTACATAAATTAAATTCGTTGTTGCTCGGAGTTTGTGCAGGAGCGATTTCAATTGCCTCAAAACTGTTAATTACAGTGTCGACAGTTCTCAGAGATGCGTCCGCTACTTTAGCACTACGGTAGCCGACAGAGAGGAAATTAACACGATGAGAACAGAGATATGGTTGACGTTTGCGTATTTGCGTGCTAAATTAGTTTACAAGAAGAATTAATTTACGATATGCGGGGGGGAATTTGTGTCTTCGCCATCTGAACACAGTCAGAACTCCATCGGAATATTCATAAGGCACTCAATGTGTGTATTATCCAGACCGGACACCAAACTGCGGTCATGTAACGGGCAGTAACTGTCTGCAAAATTTATTGCTTCGCTTCCTACTATTGGCAACTAACACCGTTTATAATCTTAAACCTAGTTCACATAGCCACATAGTGAAATTCTTTAAATGTCTTCGCCCAACCCACACTAAAATCCATTTCACAACACTTTAAAATAGCCTAACTTTATTTTATTCTACTTGGAAATTCCATTGGCTAAGCGCTTGAATACGGGTAATTAAGAACCGGAAATTAAAAGGGAATAAGGGGGATATAGGCTGTAACGTGTTCTCATTGGGCAAGGCAAAGAATGACACAAAGCAGGTGGCCCCCTACTCCAAAGTTATGGTCTAAAAGATGGCTACTGTAAAATCGTTCTTGAAGAAAATTGTGTGCCTTCAACACAATAAAAACTCATGCATTGATCACAATGAGTCGATTTAATTTTATTGAAGTTTCACGCTGTGTCCCACCGGAACGTTAAAAACAAGCGGAATAATAAGTAGGACGAAAATTTGGTGTCGGATACGATTTTTGCGCACCACCACCGTTAAATATTACCGCTTGGGGTGTCATTTTAATGCAGTACCAGGGATGGTGTTGGCGTAACCGTGCTCGCGGCCGCGGTAAATCGATATTTCCCCAGCCCGTCCTGCGTTTTCCGGCTCATTTGGGACACTTTCGTAAATTGTTTATCGGAAAACACTCCCGGGGAAGGTGCCGGCGAAAATCGAATATTTTAATAGGAACGAGCCGAACAAATCGACGAGTTTTTTGCTTTCGCGATGCGTTTGATGAGTGGCTGGGACACGGCGTGACGTTCAATATTATCTTTACGAGTCGGTTTCCATAAATCCAATAATCCAGCGCACAAACAAGCATTTTTCATCGGTTCCATTCCTATTCGGCCTCGCCCAATATCGTTTTGGTCAGCGCTTTTTTTCACATCTGCGTCGCGTATACCTGGCCAATTTTTCGATTTAGGGGTCGACATCCTATCAAGTACACGACCCGTATCGCAATAACGCGATTTTTGTGTTTTCCGCCGTACTTGGATTAGGTTATCGTGTATAATGGCTCTCGTGCTCATTTGCAATAACTAAAACTCTGCGAGTCATTCCGTGTTGGCGAACAATTTGTTCGACCCTCGCGGCTTAATTGGACAGTATATAATATTTCAAACCACCACAATTAAAGTATAATTTTGATACTAGATCAATGTCCGAAATGAATTTCATAAAAGGGAAGCCAATAAATAGAACCAAGTCCATAATTGGATTGTAACGGCGATTGTAAGCTTATTGATATTTTGTACTGCTTCTCAATGCGCTAACATTTCACTAGGTATTCTTACGAATCTCTTTACACATAGGTTTTAACAAACGGTTCGCTTAACTATACGGGATTATCGTGAGATTATTAACAGCAACTCTGAATAGTTGCATTTCTAAGACATCAATCTTCTTAGTCTTAGTTTCAGTTCGAGCTGAAATATAACGCATTAACGAGTTTTGAATCATTAACATTCTTTCAATCTTGTGGTGATACGATATTAACGACTTCGTTCAAGATCGCTTTAATAGCACCTACGCCAGTCATGCAATATCTAAAGGCCGTGATCAATTTTTGTTCTAAACCCATCATCAATTAAGCTTGGTAAATTACTTTTCATGACAAAAAAAAAGATTTTTATCTTGCGGAATAAACGAATTACGTACTGTATTCGAATTAGAAACATGAGATACAGTCGTTAATGACGAGTTACGCTGCTAATTTTCTGGTCGCTGCTTGGAAATTATTACTAATCAGATGTGTGTACATAGCTGGGTGGAAGCTATAACTAAGTTATCAGTGAAGGGTTGGCCGCTGATTATGTACTGTAGTTGGAAATTGCTGTCGCTTGCTGCAAATAATTTGAATAATTATTGTGTAGTGGAAACTTGATCTTTATCAAATAAATGAGTCAGCGTTTCATTTTGTTTTATTGAAAAATTGAGCTGAAAAGAAATGATTCTCTAAAATGTTAATCTAAAACGTTAATCTCTCTACCTGGCGGTTACCTTAAAAGACCACCCAAAAAGGGATTAAACAAAGTGCAGTTTAAGTACTACAAAAGAATGCTATTATGTGATTCACCTATTAATAGTTACCATGTCATTCAAGTGTTTAAGTTGGCGTGAAACAACTTTACCTGTGGTAAACTCTCCCAATTGATGTATTCTTTTTTTTTATTCAAATTTTCCTTGGTTAAATTAAAAAAGAATTGTTAAGAATCCTTCATAAATTGTTAACAAAAGCGTACTCTTTTCAATAAAGATGTCCGATTTTAAAAAACACTTTCAGTTTTCGAGATAGAACGATTTGAATAAGTTGAGTTTATAATAACTTGCAATAAGTGGTGATATAGAGATAAATTTAAAAAATCATAACGTTAAATTTTTAGAAATAATTATAATTATTTTCTACATATTAAATGTTAATTAAAATTGCTTCAAATTAGTTTTTATTTCATGGTACTATCTCAATTCGTTCTTGAGATACGATTTTTTAAAGTTTCGTTTTTATCTCTTTAACCTCAAAAACTGCCAAGTTGATTTTTAAAAATTGTATCACCGGGAGTTATAGAGACAAAGGAAATATTTTTGGTGTACTACAACTACATTTAATTTACTATAAAATGGTTTTTATCTCAACTCAATACCTCAATTCGTTTTTGAGATACAAATAATAGAAATCAAGGAAAACTTGAAGTGATTTTGGTGAAATCAAGTTTTTTGTAGAATAAATTTGGTTCAGAAAATTCAAAAGGACATTTCACATGTTTTTTTTATACAAAGAATTTTATTATTCCCAGCTCGTTACCACCAGGCGCCCTACCTTAATTTTATGGTTAGTTATTAATGGCGTGCATAAATCAAAGCTAAAATCATAAAACCGTCGCGCAAAGGTGGGTCGAAATTACCGCGGGGTGCTTTAAATTCGAAGGTTTTAATTGCTGGGACAGGCGTCGAAGGGTCCGGCAATTAGGGGAGTGCATTTTTGCGAACCCCTGGAAAGCCTAGAGGCGGGATTTGAGCCGGTCGAAAAGTTCTGGCAGTAAATCGCGGCGTTTGTCGGCCGGAATTTCCAAGTGCCGTTAAATATTATCGGGCCACTAATTCTCTCTGTGAATTATTGAAATTGCGCCTCCGGGATACGCGGAGTGTTCGCCTCGGTGAAGAGATCGCTCGAAATCGCCTATCCAGAAGGCATCGTCGGTTCTTTTTCCACCACGACGTTCTTTAATCCTCCCTAACGCCTGCCCTGGCAACGAGAGGGCTTTTTTTGCACTTAAATCGAAAGAGCTCGTTTATATTTTATGGAAGGATTTCCGAGGAAATTGTTATTTATCAATCGTTTCCCAATAAAGTTGTATTCGTAATATCGATGAGGTATTTCGATATTTCGAAGAGATTTCGTATTCAACATCTTCGTACCTATTATATAAATGAACTGTAAATTTTCTCAGCATGCTAATTTTAAAGTAGGTTTTACATCAAGATCTACAAAACGCATACGGAAAAGAGAAAATTTAACGTCCATTTCACACGCCACTTCCTCCTCATTACCATACGCGGCGAAATAAAATACACAACAACTATACTGACCATACGAGTAATGTACGTAGATCTCCTTTATTCGTTACCATGCAATTTCCGTTTAATTAGACCAATTAAACGTTGATTAACCTGTCGCAATTATTAATTATAAAGCAAAAATACGAGTTTTTACGAATTACTCTCTTGTTTACATAAAAGGTATTAGCTTTTAGCATCATTGAACGTTGCGAACTTTCATTGCAAATGAGGTCACCACCTCCTCATACAAGTACCGCGTAAAATCGGCATCGATTATGCAAATTTCTAACCAGAGCGGCGTTTTATTGAGCTTATCTTAATTGCAATTGGTTGAAAACACCGATGGGGCGCTTTATTCAACCGTTCCAGTCACCCACTTCCGGTTACTTTGCCTCTAGGCTAATAACAAAGTAATGCTTGGTCACGAATTCAATACGAATTGATGAAAGGTTTATATACCATTATGGTTCTTATTAAAATCCTATTCTCTGTGTATGATATCGTCTACTTATTTACCCATAATGGTTTATAAGATTTGATCAATTTTTTGATTGGAATTTATTGAATTTGAACACGTTCGCGTAGTTGTTTTCTTATTTTATGGACCAATAACCCGTGGATCTAAAAAGTTAAAGTTCCAGTGTGCAATTTTTCCCAGTTTCCGCTTTAATTTGCGGTATCTGCTCCCGATAACTCGGAGCAATTAAATTTTATGTGTCCTCAGGAGCGTTCC